CTCAAATCTTGTCTGGGAAAACAATTCAGCACTCATGTGTCAGAAATATGGAAACACGAGGGCTAATTAACTCTTGGTGGCGAATCCTTGTCAAGAAGAATGAATGGCCAGGAGAGAATAATAAGAGAAAGGCCTTGAACCAAATTCTAGAGAAGTGGGCCATGGAGAATTTGGCATGGACGGGCCAGAGGATCAAAGGGAATCCAGGACAATGCTGCAGCAACAGAAAGCAGAGTCTCTTAAGTTAGTGTTCTATTGCTGTGAAAAGACATCATGACCAGGGCAAATCTTATAAAGGAAAACATTTAATTGGGGCTGGCTTACAGTTTCAGAGGTTTAGACCACTATCAGCATGGTGGAAATTAGAGTGGTGTGCTGGCAGACATGATACTGGAGAAGGAGCTAAGAGTTCTACATCTGGCTCCTCAGACAACAGGAAAAAAGCCACTGGGCCTGGATTGGATCAAAGCCCGCCCCCAGTGACCTACTTCCTCCAATATGGCCACACCTACTCAAACAAGAGTATATCTCTTTATCCCTCCCAAGTAGTGCTACTCCCTAGTGACTAAGTATGTGAGCCTATGGGGCCCATCATTCTTATTCAAACTACCACACAGAACAAGAGAAGCTTCCTTGGGTGAGAGACAATCATTCCACATTGTGAAAAGCCTGGAGAAGGTCACATAGTGCAGGGAATGAACAGCCTTAAAGCAGGTAGAAATAGAAAGACCAAGTGACAATTAAACATCAGTCCTGGCAACACTGGGAGAGTAGCCACGCTAGAGGGGTTGGAGAAAGATTGGGAAGTAAAGAAATGAAAAACATGAATTATTGCCACAAAATCAGTGATTGGTTAAATATGCATTTGCCTTTATACAGTTCTGAGGGCAAGAGGGACAATGGAAATAATACTGGGTTAAAAATCAAGCTGTTAATAAATAGATCTTAGAGGCTGCCAATGGCTCTTGGATTGTGGCCCCCTTGATTGACATGTAAAGCCAGCACTGTTGCATCTTGTGTCCTTCCTCCATAGCTGCTTTTCCCATCCTAATTACACCTGCAAATGGTTTCTGCTATTAACAGTTTATGCAAGTTGGGCAGAGTGTGGTATACTGAACACCAATCCCACCATTTAGGAGATTGAGGTAAAACTATCAAGAGTTTGAGGCCATCTGGGGCTACATAGTGAGTTTTAGGCTAGCCTGGAGTATATAGCAAGATTGTTTCAAAACAAGCAAGCATAACTGATATTCTTAGGATAGATTGCTTCCCCCCTGGTGTATAGCCCAGGACAAGCACTCAATGTCACATTGGCCACACCTGTGTACAATGACCTTTTTCTTGAAAGTAACAGTCTCAGTTATGGACATGTGGAGATATATTTGTGTCGAGCAGCATTAGTTGAAGACAATGTGATGAACTCTTCACACATTTTTCCAGGGAGGAGAGACATTCAGAGTAGTTTGAAAATCTGTAAGGACACAGAGGCCTATTTTTAGGAAGTGATCAAACCCTCTGCAGGGAGATAGACACTGCAAGGATAATGTTGTTCCGAGATTAATAATAGACTCACTGGTTGTTTATTTTACTGGGATGTTAATAGGTTAAGTTTTCATAATGAGAACATGATTTCTCATGACATGTTAGATTAGGGCTAAGAGAGTGGCTTGTTCTTAATCAAGTTCATCTGGAGAACTCCAGAATCTTACTGATGTATACCATTTAAATATTTGATTTGTTCTCTATGCCCCACAATATTACATCAGAAATTGAGCTATGAATTTTGAACACTATATTTTGCCATTTACATCATTCACCTTCTCAGGCCCTCCTATGAGTGAGACAGAACTAATCGATCACATGCTTCAGAGCAGGCCATGTCCCTCCTGTAAGACAGAACTAATCGATCACATGCTTCAGAGCAGGCTATGCTTGATCTGACCAAATTGTCAACAAGCCCAAGTGAAAGCATGCCCTGGTACCCATGTTTATAAATAGTCTCAGAAATCAGCTCTTGCTCAGGTCTGCTAGGTGTACATTAAAGCACCTCCATCATCTCTACCTACTTTTGTCTGTTAAGATGGCATGGGCTCATTAGCCAGAGACCACTGCCTTCAAGGAAACACCAAAGGCCAGTTTCTATTAAATAAGATGGTCATGTAGTAAAACAATCTTTCCTTTTGTTTTTAAGTTGACAATTCTTTTACTGAACCAGTGTCAGATTTGATCTATGACTTCCGCTGAGCAGACAACAGTATTGAAATGTCGACTAGACAAATACGACCTCTTTCTGAAATGCGTCTGGAGAACTCTCTTCTTGAAAAGAGGCAACCTTGCATTTTTCAGTTTTTTAGGCTAGAGTAGTCCTTCTCTGGACCTGACCAAAAGAGGACCACTGTGCTCAACCCTTGGGCTCTTTGAACCTTTTAGTAGATGCTAACTGCCCCAAGTTCATGCATATGAAATACATTTAACGGCTGAACTAGTCCAGACCTCAGCCACTTCTATCTTCTCTTCCCCCATCTCTTTTTTATTGAAGACTTTAACCTCATTAGTATTTCATGAAAAAAAAAACTGGATCTTGCCCATCATCTTGCTTGTTGCTTCCCATTTCCTGGCAGGCACAGCCTGAAGTTTCAATAGAGGAAGTGGGAAGGAACACAACACATTCAGAGTCTGTGAAAGACCTTATTTACCATCAAAGTGAAAGTTTCCAGATACTCCAGCCCTGTTTTCTTATGCTCTTAAGTCTTTGATGAGGAATTAAGGACTCCAGCCAGGGCTACGGAGGTCTCTGAGAGTCCTCTCAGAAAAGAGCTGGCAGAGTGCACTACAAGGTGTCCTGGAGTTGTTCCTTAGTTACAAATGATACTGAGGCATACATGGAGGAGAAAAGAGGGCAGAAACCACAAACAGCATAGTCATTGTTGCAGGGCACCTCTGAGAGAAATATGAATTTCACACAACTAAAATGCTAGCTTCCGTTCGGCAAAGCAATTATTGAAACTTGACTTTTAATGGAATCATTAATGTGCTTATCCCTCACCCCGATTCAATTGCAAGTCTTTATAAGGCGGATTTCAGATGTTAGTGAGTCTAAGAATCTGAGGACCTCACTGAAAGAATATAGGGTGTAATGTCTGAGACAATTAAAAAAAACTAAACAAAAGATGGAGGGTAGACTCAGGAATGTTCATTTTAACAGAACCTCAAGTGACTGTCCTGCAATGGCTGTGACTCACACTAGGAAATATTTTCCTAGCACTCACAGTCTTCATGGTCCTGAGCTCCTAGCACGGCATAGTTTTTATAGGATCTTCCAGGAATGTTTGTGAATGTCTTGGATGGGCAAAATCTTAGAGATGATTTAGATTCAAGTTTTTGTTCTCCTTCAACTAATCACTCTAGTGGGCTGGAGGTAGACTAAATGTCTTAATAAAAAGAAATAGCAATATGGTGATTTTCTAACTGGGAACAACTGGCAAGAGAAAATATTTTATTCAGAGAGCTGAATAGAAATCTATTTTGTTTACTTAATTTTTTTCACTTGGGAGCAAGAAATACATGTATTCGTCACTAACTGTAGAACATAGGGAGGTTAGGTTCTATTTGAACTTCCCACTAACTACTGGATGTATTTCCTGTGCCTTCTGGTTTCTTTTGTTTATTGTTTACCAGGTGCTGTGAGGTCTGTCTTTAATGTGCCTTGTCCTTTGTTCTCCTGCCACAGTGTGAAGCTGTCCACATTACTTGCCCTTTGCTCCTGGCTGCCTCTAAATAGCCAGATGCAACAGAAACGGAAAGCCACCTTTTCCATCAACATCACTCGTGCCATTCAGCTATTGGATCTTTAATACAAGAAGGATGCATGGTTCCTCTTTGTTTGATGAGAGTCACAGTCATACCGTGAAAAGATCAGGGGAAATTGAAAACTATTTTAGTGTAAATACTGAGGGAAGCATCTTTAGTTTATCTCAGGCTGCCAACTCTTGGACCCAGTTGGCTGCCTCTTCATTGTATCACAAGTGTTCATTCCATCCGTTTATATGTCATTAGCTGTAAACTGTGGAAATACATTTTAAGTAGAAAAAATGGCTCTGAAAGTATGTGTGGATGGTATCTAGGTGGAAATGCAAATGGTTTGTTAAATTTCAGGTCTTGGTTCTGTTCTAAAGAGAGAAATCAAGAAACTTAAACATTAAAATCAAATGCTTTGGTCTTTCCGTTTTCAAAACTGAATATTATAACTTATCTGTCTTCTGTATACCATCTGTCAATCATCTATCATCTACCCTTAGGTATCACCTGTCAAACACTTACTATGTATCATCACCCTCTATCTTCCTACCATCTGTCTGTCTTCTGATGACCATTCAACATTTTTATCTTTTTAAAATCATAATTCTTGGAAAGTGCTGATAACAAATATCCATGCCCCTCCTAGAATTTATACTGAAATTGAAATGTTATACTGAGGCCAAAATAAATTATAGACATGCAATGGTACTAGAAAATATTTAACTGGCATGATGCTTATTCTGTGTGGAGTCAATGTATGTGTAAGGGCTGTCACTTTCCTCTAGTTTCCTCATTTATCACTTTAATTGACATTTCAAGCTTTGACAAAAGGTTGTCTGCCCTGTGAAATAATATTGCTTGCTTTTTGCTTTTTTTTTTTTTTTAAATCAAACCTGTTTTGTTCTAGACTAAAACCCAAAATCAATGTGTTCCTTGTCAAACGCGGGAGGGTCAATGCTGTGGTTGTTTTTGTTCCCAAGCAGTTATGTAACCACGGGGACTTGTTTCTTTGCTTTCAGACTTGGTGCAAAACACATTAAAGCTAAACAATGGGCGTGATTCCCAGGAGCAGCCCTAGAGCTGTCTCACAAGTGTCCTCCTAGGTTTGGGAACCTCGAATTAGTTCCATTCCTGAGTGTGTGTGTGTGTGTGTGTGTGTGTGTGTGTGTGTGTGTGTGTGTGTGTGTGTGTGTTTAGTTAGCTGGCACGATACACTTCCCCGAGGTTGTGTTTCCTTTTTCCTGAGATCTGGCTAAGGGTAAAGGGTCAGAGTCACATGGATTGAAAGCATTTGATTGATGTCCAAGTCACCGCTGTGGCTGCCGGAGCCGCCTCCCCTTGGGCTGGGGCCGCGTGAGGCCGGAGTGGCGGGTCGGGCCAGGATCCCGCTCTCCCAGGAGTGTCCTGCCCAGAGTCCCACGCCTCCCGCGCGCGTGCCGCAGCCCGAGCAGCCTCCTCTGCCCACGCCCCGGCCTCGGGCCAGCATGTGAAGCTGCTCCGTCCCGCTCAGACTCCGAGGAAGCGGCAACTTTGAGGGCGACAGAGGCGGCGGCAGGCGCGGGGCAGAGCACTTGCCACCAGCCCCGCGCCCGGCCGGCCACCATGAGCGACGAGAGCGCCAAGGACGCCGACAAGCAGCTTCGTCTGCGCGTGTGCGTGCTCAGTGAGCTGCAGAAGACCGAGCGCGACTACGTGGGGACGCTGGAGTTCCTGGTGTCGGTGAGTGACCGGCCCCGCGCAGGGCACCAGGTCCGGAGCATTGTCTGTGCCAGCACCCGGCACCCGTACGGGTGGCGCGGAAAGCCCGGGGATGCGCTCTTAGCTGAACATGCATAGAGTGGCCAGGGCCTTGAAGAACTCGCGTGGGAGAAGTTAACCTAAGGCTATTCTGCATGTCCCATCTGCGCTCCGTTTTTTTGATCCATCTCCTAGGGCTAATTTCATTGTATCTCTTTTTCAGCCCCTTTCTCTCCGCTCATATTTTGTTTAAAAGCCTTGGTTTTCATGCTTCTATTTGATACGTTCAGGGACATGCAGTGTTTAAAAAGTCCTTGAATGTGGTGCAGTCAGACACGGTTATTAGATCATCATCAGCGAAGTCCCTTTAGGTATAATCATTGAGACGTTGAATTCTGAGGGGCGGGGCGCGGCGGAGGAGAAAGAGCAGCAGGGTCACCATCCCTGGCAGCTGTTGCATATTAAAGCCACATGTGCGAGCCTGCCCTCCCTCCCAGACCTACAATCTCCTTTCTCCTAGTTTAAATCTGCCTCCACTAGTTTCCCAGTACCCTGTGCCTACCGATCCCCTTGAAAGCCATGTCATAAAACTCCCTTTGCATCTGACAACTTGGGATTTTGTAGACTGGGCAGTTTTTCTAGGTCCCAGCTTGACTCCATGGAATTCTGTTCCAAAAGCATTTCATTCAGTTTCAGACAGGAGAGGAGACACGGGGAAAATGAATTCTTGAGACGTCACTCAAAGGCGGAATTTTCCTCACTAACTGGGTTAAAGACAGAATTTACAATCAGTCCTGTTCATCCTGATAACTCCAGAGAGCATCCTTCCAGGAAGGGCCCAGATCTACAAATCACTCGCCTTCATCGCTGTGTTCCTTACTGGCCTCCCTTCCTCCCCTGCCCCCCATCTTCGAAGGGAAACGTTTCAAATACCGAACTTCCTCCTGAGATTCGTTCTATCTGTAAAGTTTGTGCTTGCAGTCACTGTGTAGAAATTCACTTGGCTGTGTCAGGAAGGAAAGAACAATGTCTAGGGAGATGAAAAACACACAGGTTGGCGTCTCAAATTCAGTTAATCCAAGCCCCGGGGCCCACATTCTTTGAGAAGATGCACATTGTTATAGAATACCCTAATAATTGGTGATGGGTAGGGTTAGTGTATCTGATCATGTAGCAATTACAGACAAGAGCGTGTTTTTAAGGAGACTTAATAGTTTCAGATTTGACTTTCATGAAACTTCGTTGGGCACTAAGTCTTTGAATCTGAAGAGTGAGTCATTTCTTAGAGGCAGCCTTTCTGAAAATAGATGAAAAGGGAGACTGCCAATGCTAAGTTGTAGAAATAGACAAGAATTCAGCCCTGTCTCAAAAGCTAAGTTGTAGATCTTTATTTAACATGTCAGTTTTTCACTGGGCATAGTGGCACAGGTCCTCAATCTCAGCACTTGAGACACAGACAGGCCAAAATGAGTTCGAGGTGAGTCTGGTCTTTAGAGCAAGTTTCAGGACAGCCAGGACTACACAGAGAAACCTGCCTCAAAAAAAAAATTAAAGAAAGAAATATGCTGACTATTTTATATAATTTTCTTTGATATGGCACATTGAGGTTTTGTAAGGACTCTCGTGGTAGAATATGACAAAATATTGTCACTTGATGACTACTTTGTCAACATGTCACTGGCATATTTAGGAAAGCATTTAAAGGAAGTAAAAAGAGAAGATGTTTTCTTCTTTAATTCTGTATAGATAAGGTATTAGAGAATGACCTAATTTACTTGCATTTTCCTTCTTGTTTTTGCCTGGGAAAAGAAATTTTGTGCTTCATTAGGAACACTGGAAAACATTTCTAGATCAGTGGCTCTATAAAACTAACAACCAGTATTTAATGTCCTAGTCTGGACAACAGGTGGTTTGTGGCTTGCTTCCTGTTTACAATCCATGGCATGGTATAGGAGTGGATTGTGATGGGAGACACAGGGTCCTTGGATGTGTGTATCCTAGACACACCTGTGTATATGTGCTCAGATGGGTCCTAACTTGGTTTAATGTCTGGCCTCTGCTGTCTTGAAATTCTCACTAATTTTATCTTTCAACTTGGGTTTTTCCAGTGATGTCAGACAGGACAGTCGAGCAAGACCCTAGGAGGTACATGAAAGAAACCCAGTCTCACATTTCTGTTCTTTTGCTAACCTTTTCCTCCTGGCTTTTTGGAACAAGGGGCCTCACTATTTTATTTCTCACTGGTCCTGGAAAATTTTATGGCCGTTTCTCAATGGACTTGTGGTATTGAGGCAAGGTGACCATGTAATTTATTGTATAAACCTGGACACTTGTAAGGGCCACAAGGAGTGTCATTTCTAGTCACAGTGAGAAGCAGATGTGAACTGGAATTGTTCCTGGCATGTTGTCAGGCACAACTATGCCCCATTATGGGCTCACCAGGGAAAGACTTTGAGCTTCGAATCTTACAGAAATCAATGGCTTTGTTATCTGTTGCCTCTTAGGCTTTGATACCCTAAAATGTGAGTCCTGTCTGTGTAAGTTCAGTCATTCATTTGTCCTCACTGGTATATATTTAAATAAGTGAAATAATAACATTTCTCAAGGATACTGTACTGAGTAGACAGAGTGTATTAGATTTGACTGTAGTCTGGCTCAGGTGAGGGCCTTGCTAAGTGGTTTATTTTACTTCTGCTGATGTTACCAACAGCCAGACTGGGGAGGGAGGTGGGGGAGGATCAGCAATTAAGAGCATTGGCTGCTCTACCAGAGGTCCTGAGTTCAATTCCCAGCACCCACATGGTGGCTCACAACCATCCATAACTGTAATCCCATGGGATTCGATGCTCCCCTTCTGGTGTGCAAATGTATATATATACAAAATACCCATATACATAAACTATATAAATAAATAAATCTTTAAAAAAGGCAAAAAGCCAGGCAGATAGGCCAATCATCAAATTTAAACATTTCATTCTGTTATTCTTCTACACTTTTTTCTGTTTCTGGGCCTTCTGGTATTTTTTTTTAAATAACATTTATCTATTTATTTGTTTTTGTGTGTGTGTACTGGTTACCCAGTGCTAAGCCCTCTTGTTAGGGTCAGAGACAAGCTTGAGGGAGTTGGTTGTCTGCACCTGCACCTTGTAGGTTTTGGGCATCAAATTCTGCTGTCTCAAGGCATCAAGGCTTAGCAGCCCGAGCCTTTGCCTGCTGAGCTGTCTCCCTAGTGGCCTTATTCATGATATTCTCTATGCCCAGTTAACTTTAAGGTGCTGAGAAAACTTTGTAGTTTATGTAATATCCACCATCTTTTATATTGTGCCTTACAGTTCTCACTAAACATTTGTATTTTCTGTACCCAATTTGATCTCTTAGCTTCTTCCAATGGTGCTCTCTGGAGCTTGGGGCCCTCAGGAGTAGTGAGGGGGGATGTGAGTTTTATGGTTCCAGGGTCCCTACCTTGGTTTCTACCAGTGTTTATATCTGTATCTTTGCAAAAGCAATTAGAGAAGACCTTATCTAGATGACCCATTCCCAAAGAACCTAGGGGGTTCCTTTACTTCCTACTTGAGCTTTGTCGGTTGCAGATGCTCATGAAAACAAACAGACCATAGGAACAAAGAAGAAAGAGAATGCACCTGAAAACAATCTTTTCTAGTCTGACTGGTTCTTCTCAGCAAACATGTATTGATTGGACACATCGTTCTTAATCCTTGTGTTATGGACCCGATTATCTCCCTTCCTCCCCTAGATTCCTATGTTGAAGTCTTAACCCTGTGTTACAAATCGGGTGAATTTGCAGATAGCATCTTTAAAAGGTGGAAATAAGTTAAAATGAGCCTGGTAGGAAAGCTCTGATCAGTGTGACTGGGGTCCTCAAAAGAAGTGACTTGAGCACACACAGAATGCATGCATATGTGCAGAGGCCAGACCAAGGGAGGACACAGAGAGAAGGTGGCCATTTGCAAACCAAGGAGAGGTTCTGATCCAGAACCTTTTACATTGGGAAATGTGAGGCAAGATGTTTTGGTTTAAGCTACCAATCTGGTATTTTGTTTGGACAGCCTGCCTGGTCCTGTACAGCTTGGGTCCTGGATCACTAGGGGCACTGGGGGAATGAAGAAAGGATACACATACAGTGAGACTGGGATCAGGTGGGGTTCTCTACGCACTAGTACCCCCACCACCGAGACCTGGAACCTCTTCATGTTTATTAGGTATAGCATGGGTAGAGGGATTAGCTCTCCTCAGTGGGAGGTCTCTGGGGGAGAGAAGTCTCAGTACTGTCCAGGAGGATGCCATAGTTGCTAGTCTTGTTCATACTGATCCATCCCTTCAAAAACACTCATACTGAGACTCCAGAAAAGCTTTGCCATTTCTCTTAAGCTTGGCCACATGGACAATGGCTTTGCCAATTTCCCATAGGCCAATTGATCTTCGTATCCTTGACAAAGACTTCCCGTGTCAAAATACACATTCAGAGCTTACCCTGCTCCCTGCAACAGCCTGAAAAGACAAGTGTTGTTTATGTTAGGTACTGGAGATATAAACAGAAGTTAAACATATTTTATTGGAGGAAAAAGAAAAATGCACAGATAATTACAGTGTGTGTTGGAGCCCTAATATTAGAGCCATATGCTAAGTATCATAGAGGCACCAAGGGACACACTCAGTCTAGGAGTGAGGGTGGTTTTGTACTATGGTAACAGAGCTGGCCCCTGAAGGATGAGGAGAACTGTGCTAGATTAGGGAGAGAACTATTTGTGCCCCAGAAGCAGCATTGTGTTGTGGCATTGGTGTGGCAGAACTTGGCACCCTGGCAATGCTGCAACAGTCCTTGTGACTAGAGAGAGAAAGTCTTGCATGCTTTTTGGGTATTGGTGGAGATGATATAAGCTGGTCCCATGTGAGGAAAGTTCCAGTCTTAAGGGTTCCTACTTTTGACTATAGGCATTAGGGATCAACTATGAAGAAACACTGGGTATGCTACTAGTTTGTGGTTCAGAGAATGCCAAGGCACTGGGAAGGGGGCAGAGTTTCACTTGTGGATTTGATTCCTGCTTCCCCTGATGTGTTAGTCTAAAAGCATGGCTGCAGAAGAGGCTCCTCCTTAAGCCTCATAATCGGACACAGGTTAGAAGTGTAGCTAGGTATAGTTGGTACTGTTTACTGAGGGAAAGCACTGCTTAGTAACCACAGAGGGTACACAAAACATCAGCATTGTCAGGGTTGTGCAAGACAGAGAGTTGGGTTTTCTCTGAGGTGGGGCTGCTGTTGGGGTCTGTGGACCAGCTCTGCTTGACTCCTAAACTTTGAGATACTTCTCCTTTGATCTCTCTGGATGAGATTCCTAAGTCTTGAGTACTTGTGATCCTCCTAACTCTGTGTTGGGGAAGCATGGCATTAGTAACCAACATTGATAAATCAAAGACTATGTTTTGTGTAAAGCTTGCTCCTTTAGACCATTAGTTTCATCTATATATACCCTAGCATAGCGTGATACCATTGGTATAAGAATAATATCCATTGGGTTCAGATGTGTTTCTTAGAAAGAGAATCTGTCCACAGTGTTGACAAACAAGTGGTTATACACTAGCTGCTTTTGCCATTGTATTGGTCCTAGTAAGAAATATACACTGTCTGATGTAAGATGGAGGGAACAAAGATGATTAAAAACAAACAGCAGCAGCAAAACAATAGAAACCTTGCAAATAAACCCACAAAAAACCCACACACTCATTAGGACAGTGGTGGCACACTCCTTTCATTTCATCACTGAGGAGGTGGAGGCAGGCAGATTTCTGTGAGTTCAAGGCCAGCTTCATCTACAAAATGAGTTCCATGACATCCAGGGCTGTTACACAAAGAAACCCTATCCTGAAAAACCAAACAACAAAAACAACAATGACCCCTCCCCCCCAAAAAGACAGACAAAGATAAACCAGGCACTCAATAGCTACAGGACAATTCTGGGGTAAAAGCTTTGGTATTGTGGGCACTAAGAAGAGTAGGTGGAGTAGAATGGAGAACATAAGGCAATGCTGGGTTTGTAGCTGTGATGACTAGATGGGCAGAGCCATTAATTGAAAAAAAAATGTCAGGTACAGAAATGCATGGGGAGGAGGAAGATGAATTTGGTTTTGGACATTTAGCTGAGAGCCATTGTTCAAAGCAAGTGTAGGGTGCATCACTGACTTAGGCCATTGAAGACTGAAACAAAGAACCCACAGGGGGTATGTGGGAGGAGGTGGTGGGAGGGAAGGATAGGAATATGGGTCAGGGTAAGGGTAGAAACAGGGACAGGGATAGACATAGAAGAGTCTGAAAGAAGGAGTAAGTGGAGACATGAGACATAATGACACCTATGGAAACTTTTCAAGGTTCTGGCAGTAAATGGGAGAGAAATGGTGAATAATTATGTTAGTTACTTTTTTGTTAGGGAGCCAAAATCTCTGTTAGTACCCAACTTAAGGGACAGAGGACTTGTTTCTGCTTTCAGTTTGAGGGGATGCAGTCCATTTAGGTGGGACAGAGAAGTTGGAGTCAGGAGCATGAGGCTGCTGGTTGCTTGCATTTCATTGGCAGTCTGAAGGCAGAGGATAGGATGTGGAATGACAAAGGAAGTTAGTGGAGGTCAGGGGTGTGGTGGGTGGCTGTGGCAGTGGGTGGATGGTAGGTGGGTGTTGGGTATTGAAGATTTCTATCTGGTAATCTCTCTTCCCTGTGAAGTTAAACACTGGTTTTCCCTCTGGTGATCTGTTTGTCTCTGTTTAGATTGTTGGCTCTCCTGATGAGAGACACACTGGAGCGAATAGTAAGTAAAGATTTTGAACATGGACATTCAGGAGTATGAAAGCAAACTCATCTTGTCCATGTGAGTTTGGGTGTACGACTGCCCTTGTAGGGTTGTCCCTTCAAATATGACTTGAAAAAAACGCAACATGGGCATTTTGAAGTCAAAGGAAAGAACTAAGCCTTTCTGAGTTATGATGTGCATTGTGACTAGGTTGAACTTTTGGAACTAGTGATAATCGTTTTATGTTTTTTTTTTTAACCCTAGTACAGATTGTATAGACCTTCTGTTTTGCACCTGCTGGGTTACTTTAGATACTTTATGAAGTGACACATCTGTGCTGTTGAGAAGGCACGAGCTCAAGACCTGAGTTAGAGTCCTCAGAACCAGGTAATGAAAATGAATCCAACCTCAGAGCATCTCTGGGGAGATGGGATGGTGAGACAGGAGGTCCCCCAGAAACTTGAGGGCCAGCTAGCCTGGTTTATTCAGTGAAAACTAACAAAGAGACCTAGCCTCAAACAAGATGGAAGAAGAGGACTGACACCTGTGGATGACCTATGACTTCCACACATCAGCCCTGGTACATGTTTGCCCACCTTTACACACATGACCATGTGTACACACACTGTGGTGATTTGAATGAGAACGGCCCCCATAGACTTATATGTTTAAATGCGTGGTCCCTAGATGGTACGTGGCTGTTTGGGAAGAATTAGAAGGTGTGGCTTTGTTGGAGAAGGTATGTCACTGGTCTTGGGCTTTGACATTTCAAAAGCCCATACCATTCCCCATTAGCTCTGATTCTCTCTGCTTCATGCTTGTGAACCCAATGGAAGCTCTCAGCGACTGCTGCAGCATGCCATGCCTTCCTGCCTGATGCCATGTTTGCTGCCATGGTGATCATGGCCTCTACTACAATGGAATCATGAGCCCCAAGAAATGTTTTCTTTTATAAGTTGCCTTGTCCTTGGTATCTGTTCATGCCAATAGAAAATCTAACACACACACACACACACACACACACACACACTAAAACATACATATACATGCAATTTTTTTTCAAATCATTTATCTGACAACTAGTGTGATTACATTGTTTTTCAGTACTTTCAACAATGTATTGCTCAGGGTTCTTTAACCATATATTTAGTATTAATACCAAGTAAAATCATGTGTTTGTGCTTTCACCCATTAGTTTGACCTAAAACTTGTTTTAATGGGCATCAATTCTTACATTGATTATGTATTGAATTTTGATAATAGATGGACTTTTATTATTTCCCAAGAGGTTTACTAATTCACAAAATTTCTATGTAACTAGAACTGCATTTGCTTTATGAAATTTGGTGTCTTCGAATGATAAAATTATCATTGTAATTCCAGGAAAATATCCCTAGGAATGTTTTACTCCTTAACAGTGCTGTCAATTCACTTTCACTGTGGCAGTGAGCCTAACACTTGAATCCCGAGACATCTAATGTGACTGTCTTTCTTTATTTTCCTTTCACTGCTGTGAATAGTTTCTACCCAGCAATTCAATGAAGGTAATGTTAGGAAAACTGATAGTTTAAATGGAGTCCTTGATGTCAGACTTTGATTTCCTTGGGTAAGTTTGTTGTCTCCCTAGCTCACCACGCAGCTCTTCATGGCACACCAAAGGGTTCCATTTTGCTTGAGAATGTCTATGCCAAGGACATCGTGTTTCCTCATTAATGTGAAATACATAGTTTCCATGAAAAGGCAAGGCCTTCCTTTGAACAGATTAAATTGTACAATACTTACAAGAGGATTCCAGCGGGGTTAAATTTAGAATACAGATATAAAATATTCTCTGGGTTTATAGCAGAAGTTTAGCGACATAGATTGCTGATGGCATGCATTTTCATTCTTTATCAACGTTATCTCCCAGAGTCCAGCAGGGTCCAGTATCTGGCTTAGCTGCCAGTGTGGCTGTTTGAGTTATCTCTGTAAGTTGTCTTCTTGCCAGAACCAGAGGCTTGTAGATGGTGACATATTTTCAGAGATTGTGCAAGAAATGTTGATGTTTCCTTTAATGCCTTGAGATGCTTCAAGTTGGCCGTGTTTCCTCTCTTCCTTGGAATTTCAGCTGTTTCATAGTTGTGACTGTTGCCCCAAAGAAGGGGTTCTTGGGATTCCTGAAATGGTGCCTCCTCTTGAATCACAAAGCTGAGGTGTAGGGAAAGGCATTATGATACTATATTCCTTCACCCGTATTCTAAGGCTTTTGCATTCACACACCACCACTCAGATGTTAATTCTAAGGGTGCGGAGAGCCTTCATATTGTGTATAACTTCAATGCATGCTGATATCTTTTGTAGCAGCCTATCCATTTTTATACTTTCACACAGTTTATTTTGATTTTATAGACACAGGTCCATCTCCATTTTCTTGTACCGCTTACTAACAAAATCTCTGGAAAGGCCTTCCAACTACCTAAACTCTCATAGTGATGAACACTTTTATCTCTTTGTAAGACTTAAATATCCAAAGGCCATATATCATTTTGCAGATGTCCTTGTAGATAAGATGAGGGGTATTTTTAGTTTGTGGCAGGGGATTGTGAACAGAGGTGACAATAGGTAGTTTCTAAATATATAATGAAAGGTGGGAAATTTTCTCTTTTCCCTTTCTTTCTAATTGTTTGTTGGCTGGTATGAGGATGGGATGTCAGCCACTTTGGACCATGAA